AGTTGTTATTACAAATGCAGAGAATGAGGCTGGGACATTGAATGAAGGTACTGCAAATGCGTTTATCGGGTATAAAACTGGTCGTTTACTTCACCTTTGAGTGCTAAAAAGTAATAAACAGCAGAAATTTTGGTATATCGGTTGGAATATTGGTTGGAATTTGCACTGACTGCTGACCTTGCTTTCACATATGGTCTTTCGGACGAACGTTGTGCAAAGTCGTTGAAACAGGATCTATTTGTTTAGTTCGGGTTTTCGTGTAAATATTTAGTCACTAAACTTGACTGGGTTGGAAGCAAAACCTCACAGCCGCCAGATACGTCGCTAGAGGTATAATTTCTAGACGAAGGCTAGCGTTCCTGTAGAGGCCGAACCATCTGTTCCGCCACTTTTCTGTCTTTTCGCGGGAAAAATGTAGCCGCTTAAACTATTATTTCTCCAGCGTACTCTCACGTGACCTTTGTTGTTAATTCAGTTAACTTTTAGGAGTTCTTGATGTTTTTATCAGAATTTTGTTCATCATTTCTGGTGTCTATTTTTACTTACTGTTGCACTTTAGTGTGAAAAGAGAAAATCGAAGGCCTTTTGCCTGTCCGTTTTCAGGGTTTTATACTTCTCCATCCATCGTTATGACGACGGGGAGTTTTGGCCCAAGCTACGAGAGTCAAACTATGACTTTGTCGGCGAGGGTCGCGGATACGGCTACAATATTAACGTCCCCCTAAACGGGGTAAGCTACGGCATATGCAATATTACATTTTCTACACATTCGGCAAATAACATAATCTTTACTGTGGCTCCCTTATTGGTGGTATACTCAGTTTTATGTTAAGAAAGGATTTGCTTGTGTTTTGTGAGAGAGCTTTTTACACTTTCCTCCCTATGGAACTCCTGACATTATAATTTTTATTTTTTAGCCGGGCTACACCGATAATGACTACCTCACAATTTTCAATTGCTTGCTCATGCCGATAGCTTATGAGGTGGGTAAGCCCCTTCGTTTTTGTGACCCAAATGTATGCGAGTTTTTATTTCCTTGCTAATTGGCTCTCGGCACGACCAGCTGCTTTTTTTCTCCCTTTTAAAGCGTACATTACTAAATGACCACGTTTTCATGTACTTTTTTAAAATATAATTCGCTTCATCTCAGATGTAATTATGTTTCTTGAATAAGCATCACCTTGGTTTCCGGCTAGTACTTTTCAATAATCATACGCTAGCAGCTCTTTTCAGCTATGAATAATTAAAATAACTGCTACTGTAATGTGTAACAGTAATAATGTTAATGCCACTTTTTATATACTCAGAAACTGTCTATATTTTTACCTTACTCGTCTTCTTTATGGAACGCATAGATCTGTTTGAGGAAGTAGGTATTTAAAATATTTCATCATTTTCCTCAGTTGTTTCTTCACCGCCACGTTTTGTTTTTTCTTCACAGTTTGACCCCGACCTCATTTTGGTGTCCGCTGGCTACGATTGTGCTCTCGGTTGCCCCTTAGTGAGTCTCGACTGATTATTCCAGCTAACTTTTTCAGCTTTCGGCCGGAGCGAGACGTACACAACTTATCGTCACTACGTCTTGACCAAACGCTCCTAGAAGTACT